CTTTCAGCCTCTCCTCTGTCTAACCTTGTTTGTCAAAAACATCTAATTCAGCAGTACAGATAAGAAAACCCTGTGAACTTTGCAGTTTGTAGCACTGACATCAACTGCTATGCGCAAACTTGGGTTCTCCAGCAGTTCTTCACATACTAGTTACTCAGGAATCCCTTACACAAAGATTTGTTATCCCGATTTACCTTTATTGCTCCTTTCAAGGTGGTTTTCATGTTTTGCTGAATAAACACAACAAACTTTCCCTAATACCACCCTTTCATAACAGTTAAATAAGTTAATGGAAAAGCTTTTCTTAATGATGTACAGCTTTGAGCCTTAGGAGATGAGATTGTTCCTGCAGACAGAACAGAAAGCTTCTTATCAAATCAACTTTCAGACCTATTAGGAGGTATCTATCGGCCAGTGACTTATAACTACTGCCCCTGCTTCCTAGGCTACCAAACTATCTCAAAACATTACACAGCTGCTTTCTGTACTTTTGCTGCGTATTGCCAAGGACTGTGTGATAAATCTAAGTCAAGTGGTAAGCTCCAGCTAATTGCCTCATGTTCTTCTGCAGTAGCCAAGAACATAGTTGAAACCAAAAGGAAGAACTCCTGGTAGCAGAGACAGGCAACTGAAAATATCAACAAAGACCTTCACAGTGCCAGCTGATAGAGAAACATCCCAGATTCTCTTTGCCTGATGCATCCCAGAGACAGTAGCATCCCTCTGAGAGGGACTTGGAGATGGTCACAGTCCTCCCACATGCATCATCGCACCCAATGCATCATCTACGCTATTTCATCCATGCCTGTGTTTATTTTGTTTTGTTTTAAATAAGTGTTTAGTATAGGACCACTATATTAGGTATGTTCTCCAAAAATAGTACTTCGTTTGGCAAACTGTATCTTTCCAAAGGATGACTACTATGACAGCATAAATTTCTTCCAGGGAGCAAAAAGAAAACATCAATTAAGTAGTGTGGGCTATGAATCTCGTTGATACTTTTCTTGCAACATCTCAGTTTTGTTTCAGATCAGAATTTTGCCCTTGGCTTCAGTCTCTTTTAAAACAGATTGAACATCTTCAGATAATAGCCCCCAAAACACTTGACCTGTTTTATTTAAGTAAATTGAAATTGTCTCACAGATGGAGTGAGAGATACAGTAATTATACAGTGTATTAAGCCTTCATGCAAATGAAGAGCAAGACTTACAAAGAGCACAGAGCAAAATGTATCTCAATAATGCAATGATAGGTATGTAAATGTTTTATAAACCTAACATTTAAACAGAAGTATTTTATGTTACAGTAGGTTTTGGTTCTAAACTTACAAGAACATATCAGGCTGTTTGAGAACAGGAAAACACTACGCATACTTCAAATGCTATTCACTAGAATAACTCAAAAAAGATTTCACTATTGAGGAAAAATAAATTAACCTCACTTTGATTGCAAAATCTACACACTGGTAATTTACAAGAAGCATTTTCTTAAGTACGACTGGAGCAACACTAGGTTAAAATCTGTTAAGTTCTTTTGAAATAAACAAAAGAAAGAGGTCTCCATGGCAAAAGCAGGGACAGGAAGGCAGTTTTGAAAACATGTGGAGGAAGTTTTTAAATGAAATATCTGAACAGATTCCAAAATTTGATTTAAGAAAATTTCTGTCACCAGTGTCTGATTAATTAAGAAGATAAGCAAGTTTGATGACACAACCCCATACTTTTCTCAATCATTTCCATCCTCGTGCTTCAGGAGTCCTTCACAATAATAATTTTAAAAATAAAATAAAAAATAAAAATTAAAAAAGATGGTTCTGAACAAACAGAAGACTTTTTTTTTCACCATGCAGGTTTCAGCTCTCTGAGGAACTAACTACCTTTTACATTTCCAAACTAAATATTCCTTAGTACCTATCATATTGCATACAGTTTGTGGGATACATTTTTTTTGTATATATATGCATTTTTAAGTTGGGAAGTTTTCTTATAAAATATTACTTTTCAATCCAGGCCATTCACAAAAGATGTCAAAGACTTCAGAAGACATTTTACCAATAAAACAGGACCTCCTTTGATGCAGCCCAGGATATGGTTGGCTTTCTGGGTTGCAAGTGCACACTGCTAGCTCATGTCCAATTTTTCATGCACCACTACTTGCAAGTGCTTCTGTGCAGAGCTGCTCTCCATCCATTGACCCCTGAGCCTGTATTCATGCTTGGGACTGCCCTGACCCAGATGCAGGTCCTTGCACTTGGCCTCGTTGAAGTCCATGAGGTTCATGTGGTCCCACCTCTCAAGCCTGTCCAGGTCCCTCTGGGTGGCCTGGATGGTCTGGGTGGTTCCTTACTTTGATCGTATCAACTGCACCACTCAGGTTGGTGTTGTCCTCAAACTTGCTGAGGGTGCACTCAATCCCACCATCTATGTTGTTAGGTTTTTCACAGCCATTTTTTTTCCTCCCCTACATAGGAAATATAGGAAATATATTTCCTCCCTAATATATTAGATGATACTACCTAAATCTGAGTAAAAGATGGGCAGAACTGCTGCCAAAGAGGATGAGAGCAGTGCAAATGGAGTTTGTATTACCCTAAAATAGTAAACAAATAGAAAACAGAAAACTGAATGGTGTGTCTGTGACATGTTTATTCACATCTTCACATCAGCACAGCAACTTCTTGTTTCTTCTGTGATTAACTTCTGTGTTCATGGCAGTAACAGCTAGCTCAAGAACACTTACTCCGAAGGTCAAGGGAGCAGTCCGCTGTTTTACATCAGTGCACCTACTGATTCCTCCCTCACCTAAAGGCACTAACAGCAAAGTCTCAGTTGGCTGCTCCTGAGTCAGCTTAGAAACAGCGACTTTCCAAAGGAATGCACAAATCAAATCTGGACCAATAACAAACCCGGTCTCCAAAGAGTGACCCATTTCAAAAATCATATGCTTCATTTTCCAGTCAACAGGAGAAAGATCTCAGCAGCAGTCTAGCATGTCAGCAGGAGTTTTCAATAAGAGTAACGAGATGGAAAACCATATTTTTATCACCTGGCTGCCAGACCGATGATTTTTACAAAGAAACTTGTGGATAGAAGACAGAGGTGAATCAGGAGTGGTTTATAAAAGGTGAAGGAAAGCGACTGAAGGCAGTTACTAATTTTTATGTGTATCTATTTTTCCAGCCTCTGTGTGGGGGCAGGAGAAAAGTTGCTACACCATGAGAGCAGAGTGCTTTGGAAAAGATTTTGTTTAGAAGAAAGTAAATAGAAATGTGGTTCCTCACAACACCCTGCCACTTGCTTTTAGCTGCAGGTAGAGAAGAGCAAAGCACACAACTGAACACGACACAGCACTGCTGCTCTGTTCTGCTCCAAGAGTGTTTTCAGGAAAACATACGGAGGCAGCGCAGGCCTACCATGAAAATATTCCCATGGCAACAATGAAAAACGATTTATTAAAATCTGTTACACTAACTCTTTGACTCCAACTCATTAAAGAGAAGGAACCTGTAGCGTTGCATCTGTACAAAAACATGCCACTGAAGATGTTTTCATTTAGAAGACATGAATAGATAGTTCCCAGTGGTTAATTTTCTGTAATACTGTCATTGTCAAACAAGTTAAAAATTAGCCATAATGCTGTGCTTGCAGTCATGTTTCACAAAACAGTGTCAGTTAATTTTTGCTAACCACATGAACAAACTTTAAACATTCAATAATTATTCAGCAGTTTCTTATCTGGGAACCATCCTTAGAAAATGATGCTTATGAGTTTAAAGGACCAAACTGTCTTTGGAAATAATCAGTGCCTTGGCAGCTTGTGGGTGAGGCCTGGGGAACTAACACAGCATTATTCACTACATAATCCCATGCTGCACACCTTAATATAATGGTTGCATCGAAATTCTGTATAGGAATAAGCAGTGGAAAAATTAAAAGCCACAATTAAAGAAAAAGTATGAATTAAATCATATGTTTGGTGACACATTTTGAGTAATTTGTTTGCAGGTTGGCAAGAGGTGCTGTTTGGATCTATGGACAGCTGCATATTCGCTACGCACTAATGAGATTAACGTTTCATTAGCACCAGAGCTATCATATTGCACACCTCCCAACAGACACAGGCCAAAAAGCAGCTGTTTGATATGGCGAAGGCACAGAAGAAAGAAACAATTGCACATAACACGATCTATTTGGGCACGTGCATCTGTGAATAAAATGCACGAGAGTTTCTTTGTGAGCACGCACAGGTCTTCCAGCAGGATTAGGCTAAAAGCAGTGCATTGCCACCCGGTGCAACACGGCTTCCAGGCCTGCTGTTGCTTTCTGCAGGGCCGTTCACAGTCTTAAATCCATCATACCTGTGCTGGGGGAGGAACTAGAAACTTGCAAAATGATCCAGCTCTTTTTTGGCATTTTCCCTTTATGGGAAAATGCTCTAAACAGAAAAAACACCAGGATTTTAAACTAGTGATTTGTGACTGAGGTGCTCTGCATAATGCTCCTGGGCATAGTGTAGAAGCACCTATCCCTTGTTTGCCCTGAACTTCCAGGGGCAAGAATTGGGGGGGGATTTGGGGGATGCTGGGGCTGGACAGTGGAAGAACCAGAAGAATAAAATAAAATAAGATAAGGTGTGATAAAATAAGATAAGATAGGAATAGGCTAAGATATGATAAAAAAATAATGAAATAATGAAATGAAATGAAATGAAATGAAATGAAATGAATAAAATAAAATAAAATAAAATAAAATAAAATAAAATAAAATAAAATAAAATAAATAAAACCTGCACAATGCGACACTCAGCCTGGATGACAGTGACTTTACAGGTAAATCAAGCCACCAGCGCAGCCCCTCTCCCCCACCGGCACCGGGCAGCGCCCAGCTCCCGGGGCGGCAGAGTCCCGGCGCCGCCATCCCCACCGCAGCCCACCGAGCTGCCGCCGGGGCTCAGCTCATCCCCCCAGGGTGGCTACCGGGACCCCGGCCCTCCGGACCCACCTGAGATGCCGCCCCCGACCACCACCACGTCGCATTTCTCTGCCATGGCGCTGCCCCCCCGGCCCGGCCGCTCCTCTCCCGCCCTGTGGCGGCGGCGGTGTCTCCCGGCCGGCTGCGGTGGGCGGGCAGCACCGCCCCGCACCGCACCGCACCGCCCCGGGTGAGGGGTGGATACAGCTCTCCCTCGCCTATCTCCCGCAGGGTGAGGGGAGAGAAGCCCCTGGTGTAGCGGAGCGCAGCCCCAAGGTTGTAGTCCCCGTGGGCTTGCTGGTTCTCCTAAGGCGATGTTGGGGTCTGGGTCCTCGGCATCTGCTCACCACCCCAGGGCCACCAGTGGGAACCTGCGGCAGCCAACGCTGGAGTTGTCGCCTCTGGAGGACCTGTGGGATCAAATGACTGCGTTCCCCAGTCAGGGCTTTCCTTGAAAGGTCGTCAAAATAAACTGCACCTCATGCCACCTGTGGTTTGAACTGTGCAAGAGAGCCTTGCTGAGAGGTGGGGTCAGCCTATATGCTGAGCATTGTCTGCCTAGACCCTGAAGAGACTGACCCAGAGAGAAAAAGGCCCGTCCAGAAATAACTCTGTCAACAAATTCACCTTGAGTCTTTAGGCTGGTCCCGTAGAGACCCAACAGGGTTTTCCATTTCTTTTGGGTTTCTACTTGACAAGTGAGGCTCCAAGAGACTGGAGGTGGTGTGCGCAAACATGCTTCCCCAGATATATCCATACAGACTACATCTAGAAATTATGTCAGTCATACTTGACCTTCCACACTCAGCTAGCTCAAGGCAGAAAGGATCCAGCCCTAAGACCCTTCCGAACCAAAGACACTTGGCAGTCTATGCCATTCTTTCTTTCCTGGTGCCATACATTGGAAGTAAGCAATGGCAGTCTGGACAGGGTTCCCTCTGCCTCTTCCATAATAACTCAAGTGATAGATCGTGGTGTGCAGAGACAGGGATGGATATGATAGGAGTCACAAATATTGACTACAGCAGGTGCAGTCTTGCCTTTTTAAGGAGAATGAGGAAAATGTGGGAGTTTGGAGGCAGAATAAAGATGGGTCAAGGTCAATTACCTACAAAGTTCATCACTTATAGATTCATCTTCTCTTTTCCCTTTGCCTTTGTGTTTATTGGTGAGGCCTTGATGTGGTGTTTTAGGGGGGCTGAGGAGGCACTGGATCCTGGTGTGTGTCAGAGGCAGTAGGAAGACAGGCATGTGTATGATTCAGAGAGATGCTGTGAGATGTTTGCATCTAATTGCCAGCCCAGCAGAGCTGTGTCACCTTCACATACCCTACGTGGGGCCCAGGAAATTTTCTGTTCCATTCTTGTTGATCAGCTGTCTCTGACAGTTTTACATCATTGTGAACATGGATAGCAGTAAATGTGCCCATCTCCTGCAGTAAAAATAAATAATATAAAAATAAAATAAAATAAAATAAAATAAAATAAAATAAAATAAAATAAAATAAAATAAAATAAAATAAAATAAAATAAGAAAAAAAAATCTCACAGCTCCTCACCTCACTTCTTCTCTATTTTTCTATTTCCTTACCCCAGGTTCTCTAAATTTTGCCTGGCTGCTTACTTACCATCCTTGTGTCTTTTAAGAAGTGAACTCTTCCTTGTTAAGGCCATATACTTATCAACTTGCAAAAGGAAGTAGTCTGATGAGACCATCTATATATTTTTATTTTTATTTTTGCATTTCTGCCTAGAAGCTATGTGAAGGTAAGAACATTTGCCTCATTAAAAGTATCATAAATATCTCCCTCTGAAAACAGTTTTTCCAAGTGATATGTGCCATGTCTGAAACAGTGCTGCCTGACTGATGAGAAGTTCATTATTTTTGAGAGAAGTGATTAACAATGAAGAGAGAAATTCAAGCAACCTGAACAAAAAGTTAATGGGAAGCTGCTGAGGCTGAATTAACACAAGATGCCATTTTTGAGTTTCTTCTCAGAAATACGTATTCTGATTAAAAAAGAATCTCTCTGATTCAAGGATAAATCAAATTCCAAGACCTCTTCATGCTGAGAGACATACAATTATCAAATGGTTGTCAGAAATAATAGTTGTAGAGATTATTTCAAGTCCCATGTGAAACACTGATATGTGAGGGAGGCTATTGCAAAAGCAGAAGTGGATCATTTTATTTGGTCAATAAGCAGGGATAGCTATGGTTACATTTATGTGCCTAATACCAAATGCCCCAGATTCCCAATGTCCACAATACATAGCACTTAGGCCTGGTGTTCTTCTGGTCTCTATCTTCTTCATGGGATGCCAAGGAATAATTAATGCTTTTTAAATGTGAGTATGAAAAACAAGAGAGGGCTGTATTGCCTGCAGTTGGGTTATGTGGTCCATGCCCTAGAGTCATGTGCAGGTCCATGGGGCTGTTTGATAGCACAAGCCATCAAAGGGCTGTTGCTGAGGTACAATGAAGTGAACATCTGGGTCATTAAGTCTGGTTTCCTAACAACAAGGACACATAATCCTTTTAGTGAATAAATCTATCTGTCTAGAGCAAGCCAATCTCTCCTACAGCCAGGTCAGTTGTTTTTCCTCCTCTCTCCTGCAATAAATCCATTTCAAAGCTTCATTTTTTCATCCATGACTCTTCTGCTTCAAAAATGTTTACACAATGATGCATTTAAACAGATATCATATTCTCCCTTCTGTTTTCCTATTCACAAGGTTGCTGCTAGTCAAACCCATTAGTCTCCTCCCATGGAGGGAGACACATTTGCTGATCCTAGGAAACTTTTTCTACACCTGTCTTAGCCCAGGTGTATTTATCTTCGACACATATGACCAGAACAGTAGATGTAATTCTAATGAAGCCTCTTTGATGGCAAAAAGATTTCCTTATGCACAGAAACAGCCCTTCTAATCACATTAGTATTGTTTCTGTTTTTTAATGGCCCTATTACTTCTCATATCCCATGTGGTTCTAACTAATAAAACAAACAAAGGAGTCCTCTACCTGGATTTTGGTGCACTATCCTTTGAATACACGATGTTACAAGCAAAGCAAAACTTTTTGAGAAAACAGAGCAGCTGAAAGCCTCCACATTTTCTCAGCTTGGAAGGGAACTCATCTGAGATGTGTCCAAAGTGTATTGTTTCCATAAATTTTGTTAGGCGCTTAGACACTGTGGTAATGAGATAGCATAAATAGCTATACTGTCTGGCAGAAAATGTACTGACAGCCTTGGACTACATTTTGAGAAATTAGTGGAAAGATGATGGAGTAGAGGTCAAAGCCAAAGATCTCTAAATTTGCAAAGACTAAGAGGTAGAATTTAGGCTCATGATTCATGACCGTCTGGTCAGTGGCTGGTGAAAACCCAGTGTGGCATTCTAAATTACACATTCTCTCAGCTTCTGCTCCTTATATAGCAGTGCTTTTAATATGCCAGCCTTCTGTTATTTATGTTACCGTTGCTCTTCATCGTCTTTAGCTGGAAAGTATCCGCTTTAGGAAGAGACAGTTTTCAGTGCTGAAATGTCCTGCTGGCAGGTAATAAACACTGACATTGCCTTTAATCAAAGAGGCAGAATGGATTCCCCCACTATCAGCAAGCTGTATTAGCACCTGCATCACCAGCTTGCTTCAGCACCAGCAATATGATCAGAGCCAAGAATTCTTCTAAAACCCTGGGTCCGGATGCCAACCCTCAGTGTACCAGGTCCATATCTCTGAGCCTTGGGCACTTGTTCTGCCTCCCACCCTTTCCCACCATCCTCTACAGCACAGGGAGGCAGCTCGAGCACACAGGCTAGATGGACACTATTGGCACAGCTCCCAGACCTTCATAACTGCAGACAGGGCACAAGGACCCAACAGGTTTTAAGCTGTCTGAAGGTCAGAAGATCAGGCTTAGGAGCACACATAAGTCTAGACACAGGCTTAAGGAGTCACAGTCACGTACAGGAAAACTGTGTGAAGAGAAAGATAACGAAGAGAAAGATAACAAAGAGATTGGTTGCGAAGAGTGAGACTACATCTTCCATCAGCCACGAGCGTATACTGAGACTTGGTGCTTCCAGGCACCTGGTGAACTTGGTTCTTATGGTTCATTACTGGATTATGGTGGAGAACGCTTTGAAGGCATGGGGAACATTGCCTGAAACCTCTTGCTATTCTGCAACCAGGTTATGCAGCTGTTCCAGTTAGCACCTTTGTTTCTGTTCAGTATTGATGTTACAGAAGACAGGCATGTTTAAATACATTTTAAGCATACATGTTACATAATTTCAAATTTCTCTACAACGATCAGTGTAGAAATTGTGAGAGCACGTGTCAGTGATTTTGAAATGCTGTGCAATTAAATGAGCATAAGCTCCATGCCAGGCTTTCCAATAAATGAAAAGTGCTGCAAGGAGTCTCAGGAGGTTGTCTGGTCTATCACTTCACCCTAAAGCAGCATCAGCCAAGACCAAAATGTATTTTGATTAACACAGAATGTTAACCTGAGAGCCTAAATGTTAATAGCCAAGATTTTTAATCCAACATACAACAGTCTGACATTAATCTAGAGCTAATAAGCAAAACCTGAATATTTTATCAGCCAGATTCCATTCAAAGTAGGACTGATCATTAAACATAAAACCTATAGCATTAATCCCATTAGTAAATGTGATGAACAAATATAAACTTGTTTCTCTGGAGTACACAGAGCCACAGCACAAGAGCAGACAAGGGTCCAAATACCAAGGCACTGTAAGGCCAGTCACTCCCTTGGGGCCAGGACCACTGGTGGTCCCCATGGGGTTGATCAGGGCACAGCCTGGCATCCGGGGCCCATTCCAGAACCCCACCAGGAGCTGGGGTCATTGGGGCAGCCCCAAGCCCAGCACCATGCACCTCCCTGAGGGCTGGCCAAGGACAGGCCTGGATATGCCCTGCTGGGCAGGGCCCATGGTGTAGCAGGGCTGTGGGGAGCTGGAGCTGGGTCTTGCTGCGGCCTCGCTGGGGCAGGGACTGGCATCTCTGGGGCTGAAATGGGGGCCTAAGCATGGGCAGTTGGGGTACAAATTAACAATTATACATGATACATGTATACGCATATTTAGTCATATATAATATAAATATAAATAAATATAAAGAAAGGAAAAAACATTAAACTCCAACATAAATTATT